GGGCCGAGTCTCCAGATCCTGCACGCGAGCGCCCTCTGTCATCACCCACCCATGGATCCCATCATTTTCCTATTAATCCTCCTTCTCCTCCTCCTCCTCCTACTCCTCCTCCTCATGTATTACAATGTTTTCTCTGCCCGACGGCTCTACCCGCCCTCCCCTAGCCCATGCTTTTCCGTTTCCACGATGGGGGGGCCCTACGCAGCTCGCCAGTCGGCGCGAGCAGGCACCGATGCTTCGCTCTGCGCTGGATTCGTTTATATGGAGGGCGGCATTCAGAAAATAGTGCGTGGCGCCGTTGATTACATGAAGGGGCTCTGGCGGGATGGGGGTTCCTCCTAACTGTCCCCCGTCGTCCTCGTGCGGCGCACCGAGCGGGGCTCCATGCGGCGCTCGACCGCGAGTCCGACGATTGCGGGGCAATCAATCGACCGGCCAGCGAGGGGCGAGACCGGGCAGGGGGTGTCTCTGTGAGAGGGTTGAAGCGGGGGGGGGAATGGGGGCGAAGGGGGCAGGAGGAGTAGAGCGACAGAGAGCCGAATGTTATTCCTATTCGCTTATACGCATATACATATGCATGTGGAAGTATATGCAAACATACATGTATATATACATATGTGTATACATGTGCACACATACACACGCAATCGAACATATCGTGCGCGCATACAGGCGTCCGTTGCCCCACCTACTTGACAGCGTTGAAAAGCACCCCGCCCCCTTTAACAATAATCCCAAGCTTAACGCGCAGCTGCGCCCAGATCTGCCTCCAAATGCAGCCGCGCGCGGAAACCCCCGTAACCTGGCGACCCCAGAGACGCCCACAAGAAGCGAACCGAATCCAGCTGCAGAAGGCGAAACAATAATTACGCTTAATCACGCGGACCATTCTGCCCCCGAACAATCCTGGCCGTCAGATGGCAGAGCAAGTGGAACTTTGGCGCGAGCCGTATCTTCGCCATCTCTGCGCACATGGAATGTCTAGCCGCAGCGTCGAGGAGCCGCTCAAACACGGGTCTGGAAACTCGAGCGGGCGCATCCTTACATAATTGCATCCACTCTTGCAAGGAGTCGGCCGATTGTTTGAGATATATTCCCAGCGGCACGAGGTCACCGTAATTCGACAACAAATCTACTGCGAAATCCAACGACACATGTGCTCCTGCCCCCTTTTATCTTCAGTGCGATTCCAAGATGACCCCCCCCCCTGGGCCGCGAAACTTTGGGGCCCGTGCCAAGCACCCCCAACGTCAGTCGGCCCAACCGTCGATCAGAAGGCGTTTTGGATCTGTCGAAATATGAATACATCTCAGCCTCCAGCCGTTTGATCGCCTGGCTCAAGGATACGGACCCCCACGGGCTAGGCTCACAGCGTGCAAAATGTCTAGAGCGAGCACAAAATCTGGCGAGGCGCGAAGCCCCACATCGAACGGCGGCAACCTGTGGCTCAACCAATCAGTTATCCTGCCAGCTTCGTCACGGTGTGTCCTCCAGAACTTAGCGACAAAGGGTAGCTCCTTGTCCACCCACATTCGAATGTCTGGTAACTCAGGCGACGGGTCCAATCTGCCCCCTGGCCGCAATCTGGGGGCATCCTCAATGAATTCCGGAACCACCATTCCACCTACTGCTTTTCTCGGGAGTGGTTCTTGGGACCGAATTGCCTTCCAAATCTTAGTCCTGAGGCGCTCTGTGTCAACATGCACTTCGATTTCACATTTGGAACAACTCACTTCGCAAGAATCTCCCGACCGAAGCTCGAAAGGGAGGCCATCCTCAGTCAGGAACCCTGGGAAGTTTATGTCCAGAGAATCGTGAGGGCACACACAGCATGGACACGGATTGTAAATGATAGCCCAAGACGACATCCAAACTGTTTTCTGGAATTCTGCTCAGTCACCCTTCACATATAACAGCACACCGCGAAATCCTAAGACTGCTCCTGCCTCCCCCCCTCACCATCGTTCCAAGGTGTGCCGTCGTGCCTGCAGTCTGGGACTCTACCAGCTAAGATTGCTTTAAGTTGCCACGTGACCATTTCCATAAAACCGTACAGAGCACAATTTCCGCGGCAACCACATGAGCATTCGTCTAATGTCCTGATGAAGCCTATTTAATGACGTTTTTAATTAGGAAATCGATGACCGAAATATTCAACACTGAATCTGTCTGCCCTGCATGCAGCGGCGTGTACCTCACAGCATCAGCATAGAGCGCAATGGGCACAGACCACACCCCACAGGAATCAAGATTGGAAACAACTGGATCATGATCTAGATACTGCCTAATTGACATTACGCAATTGATATTCTTGGAACCATACATAATGCATTCTTGACACATGCTCGACTCAGCTATCTCATCGGCGAGAGACGTGAACACCAGGTTGCAATCAACGGTTCCCTTCTGAATGTGTGGTTTGCCCTTGACTGACATCGAAATCGTGAGTTGGTATAAAGGCCCTGGGGAAGGCATACATGAGTCCAGCCATTGTTTGTACCTACCCGTCTGGAGCCCAGGTGGCAAACCCCACTTTCGAAACTCCGCACCTGACATGCCACCTTCTGCGGACAAGTGAAGTGCAATGCACAAGTCCTCGGCGCTGAGGCGGCTCGCAGACGCGTAAATTGAAAGCAAGAGCTCAAACAGCTCGGATCCGGCCATCCGCTGCTTAGTTCCATGTGGTGCATTTTTTATTGTATCTGGTGCGTCGGCGCTTCGGCATTGCAATCTTGACCAGCAGAGATGGCCTCGCGCCGACGTGGGCTGCAGTGAATGCCGAGGGGGGGGGGGGGGGGGGGGGAGTAGGAGTGGGGCTCGGGGGTGGTGGTGCACTGGGGCTTCTAGCCGATCAAACCCCTTGCCCCCCCCCTCAACAAAGTCATTTCTGCTACCTACTCCGGGTAATTTCGCGCGCGCCGCAGGCTCAGTCGCATCCGAGCTCGCTGCTGGCTCTCTAGCGGGTATTGCGCTCCACGAGCGCCAAACGCGCCGACGCGCACAAAACTGCCAAATTGTTGACCAGGCATTACCAGGCAGACTGAAGACACAAAAACATATTCGTGTACACGCACTGAACACGCACGCGCCTCGTGCAAAGCGGGATCCCTATCCGCGGCTGCCCTCCTCAGCCGTGCGCTGACCAGCAGACTCCCCAGCAGCAGCGTTGCTTAAAGGCTCGAAGCGTGCGAAATGTTCCTGGCACTGGGAAAATATCAAAAATCGAGCTCGACAACTTCGAAATCTGCGAAATCTTGGCCGCGGAGCCCTCGAACTGCATGCAGGGCAATCCGACTGACCGGCCGGAACGATCTGACCGGGCCGCGCAGCTCCGTGCAAGGGTGGACGAGCTTGGATGAGTTTGGACGGTACAAATTGGACGGGATTGGACGAGTTTGGACGGGTTTGGACGGGGTGATTCTTGCGTACAGTTATAAGAAAATCGCGAGTTTGGACGGGATTGGACGGTAGGAGTTTGGACTAATTTGGATGAGTTTGGACGGGTTTGGACGGTAGTTTGGACGGACGTTTTTTTTTGTGTTGCGCATTTGTCTGTCATTGCGATGTTTGAATTATTGTTGACCACCCTTTAAACTCTACTCGAAGGCTCTGCGACACACTAAAACATACTGGCATCCACAGCTTGCTCGGCGCGCAGCTGCCTATGAACTCTTCCTCGCGCTCTGCTGCCTGAACATCCGCTTCACCTCCTCGTGGAGAGTCTGCGCGGGCTTCATCGCATCCTGCGCTGGCATGTTGCCAAGTAAAACAAAAGCGTTTATACTATACAAGCGCACGCGGTAACATAGCAGAGCACGACATATACGCGCGCAGATTGCAGATGGGTCAATGGGCAGAGTGGCAAAGTTAGGAGCGCACATGAAGCGGGGGAATGGACGGACGGAGGGGGGGCTTACTTGGATCGATGGTGCACGCTTCTCTTCGAAAGCGCGTCGGGCGATCGATGAGCAAATGTTTCGTGGGGATGTGAAAGAAGAACAATGGCGATCGGGCCCTTGACCATCTTCACGATGTCCACCTCCACATGGGCGGCCCCCATGGTCTTCGTGAGCGCCTTGCGGTCCTGCGTGAGGGCCTCGCTGTACACCTGGTTCGACGCTATGATGCGTTTGACCTCCGATCCCATAGTCTCCCGATGCTCTCTCATGCGGGTGGTGTGCTGCGCCCCTCTCTTTACTGCCCTCCTCTCTTCTTCATCCACCCTCCTAGCTACCTCGCAATCTCCTCATAACTATTTATCGTGTCGTTTGCCCCCGCCCGTCGCCCTCCTCCTCGACTCTTCCTTCTCTCTCGGTGCCTGAGGGGCCCGCCGAAGGCCGTGTAGATTTGGGTTTCCACTGAGGCCTCTTGGAATCCATCTAGGCCCTCTTGGATCCTTCCCCGAGGAGGCCCCCGAACACTGAAACTTAGTCTGGGGGGGGGGGATCTCGCGCGAGACATCTGCATGGCCCGCGTCAGCACGATCAACTTTCCTGAGTTCCGCACGCCCTGCGCCCTCAACAGCCCAGTCATCGATGCGTCGTTTTTGTCGGATTCGGCGTGCCCCATCCATGCCGCCCACCCTCTTAATCGGGCCACGGGCTTGCGCGCAGAAATTCGGCGCCTGCGGCGGGCTCGCGATTGAGGCCTTGCACGGATATGCGTCGCAGTTTCTTGATGCATCCTGGGAGGGGGGATGGGGGGGGGGGGCTCTGGAATATCTAGGAGCGTCTTTGAAGGTATAGTAGCTGTCTCAGGGTATCTGGGTTGCCTCTTGGGGGGTTGATGACTCGCGGGTGCGTCCTGATTGGCCTCTCGACGGCCTCTCGGGGGCATGCGGCATGGGCGCGCGGTGCCCGCCGGGGGGCATCTTGGGGGCCCCTGCTGCTTCATGGGCCTCTCCAGGGGGCCTCAAAAGGAAGAGGGGGCAAGTGAGAGAGAGAGAGAGAGAGAGAGAGAGAGAGAGATACAACAAAAACAAAAACAACACAACAAACACGATGCCCATGCATCGCCATTTTGGCCCTTTTGCTCTGAGTGAGCGAGGGCGGTGGCATTCGCTAGGTTGGCCGCGAAGCACTCGCGCTCGTGCCCGCCGAGCGCCTTCGAGGTCCAACAGATGACATTGAAATGAAGACCCAAGCCATCATCATGCGCCACTTCACTGACTCGGATGAGATTGACAACGCTGAGGACATGGATGAGCCTGCAGACACCGACGAGCTAACCAAGCGGGCCGTCATGCTCATCGAGCTTCGCGGCGAGTTGTTCCCGAGCCAGACGTTCACGCAGATCTACGGCGAGCAGGTGCTCCAGCGCGTGGCCGACGACAGGGAGAAGGACTGGGCGCTCGCCGACGAGGCGGTGGACTGGGCGTGCTCGCGCTCGAGGATGATCAGGGCGATGCTCCGCCGCGTGTCGCAGAGCGTCCTCAAAACGAGGAGCATCGCCCCCTCCTCTCCTCCCTAACTCTCCACCTTCTCAGTCTTCGAGAACGTGGAACACTTGTGAAATCACCGATGCCCCGAAGAATAGCCCCGTGGAGAAACGGCCCAAGTGGGTCACGCCTTTCGTCGCGGCCCACGTCGACCGCGAGAGGGCTGCCAGAGAGGCCACCTTCTGCCTTGGGGGTTGGGGGGGGACGTCGCAGCAATCACGGGGGAGGGAGGGGCGGGCGGGGGAGGGCCAGGGGGGGATTAGCTAACAGAAGCTGACTCGGAGGCAGACGGCTACGACTACGGCGTGGACGAGAACTTGGTGGCACGATCGGTGCAAAAGTCTCCTTGCGCGCCGCGTCCCATCCCCATCGGAACTGATGTCCCGCGTGGCCGGGTCCCCGTCCAAGACCGTTGGTGCCCATCTTCGCCCGCGCTTAATCATTGTCCTCCTAGCTACAGCTTGTCCCCAAGGCAACGTTTCGAACTGCCAAGAAGGAGAAGGACGCTTCGCCCGGCTACGCCGAGAAGCTCGAGGGCGACCCCGACGAGCCGAACGAGGCCGAGGTCAGGGCGATGTGGAAGGGCGGGGTGGCCAAGAAGATCCCAGGGCTGACGTTCGGGAAGCTGCGGTCGTGGTTGGCGACGAAGGGCGCAGATGGCAAGACGAAGAAGAAAAAGGGCAACGATAACCTGCTCCTGGAAAAGAAGCACGTCAAGACTGGCATGACCATCACAGCGACGAGGTTCAGCAGGCTCGGGCAGAAAGCTCTCGCCATATGGGAGGAAGTGGCTTTCAAGGCGAGGCCGAAGATGGTGATGCAGATGGCTTTGATGGACGGGATGGAGGGGCATGAGGAGTTCGTCAAGGGCCTGGCGAACAAGTACATCGAGGGCTGCACCACGAAGGAAGAGATGGAGACGGTCAAAAGGCATTCATTGATAAAGGTTCAAAGCGGCAGCGCGACATCGACAAAGACGGGCAGATGATGAAGAAGCCAGCCGCGAGTTCCGTGAAGCCGAAGGCCAAGAAGGCTGAGCCCAAGCCGAGCCCAGACGAGGACGGGCCCGAGGAGGACGAGGGCGATGACCAGTTCGATGGAGAGTTGAACTCGGACGCCGACGATGCATCCGAGGAGGATGACGACGACGTGGAACTTCCTGTTATGAGGAAGCCAGCCATGGCGGAGAAGTTCAGCATGAAGAGGCCAGCTGCATACTGCGGCGGCACGCCCCCCGAAGAAGGCGAAGGGTGGATGCGCGAGCCCCGATCCGCCGAGCTCGTGCGCGCAGAAGACCGCCATCTTGAAGGCGCTCGTGCAGCCTCCGCCGCAGACGAAGCTGAACCCGACTGTGCCCGTCGAAATCAGACGCCTGGGCCCCGGGCGAAGACGGCGATGGAGACGGTCATGGCCGAGGCCGAGCAGGGGGGCTCGACGCAGGACGACACCAGCATCCCCGCTGGCCTCTTCGACGGGTTCCGAGCTGCGGCGGTGGCGGGCCAGACGTGGACTCCGCGGCAGTCCGCGGACAGCGGCTGCCCGCCGCTGTTCGCTGGGGTTACAGTTTCGAGCGCTGCTGAACAGCGCTCACAGCGCACATAAAAATTACCCAGCGTGGGAGCGAAGGGAGGTGTGGCTGGCCACTAGTGCAATGCAAGTCCAGCTCGGATTCAATTTGCAGGTTGGCCATGGGGGGGGGGGGGGGGGAGGGAGATAGAAGCTGAGATAAAGAGAGCGAGACAGAGCTAGAGAGGGAGAGGGCGATAGAAGGAAAGAGAGAGAGGGAGAGAGAACGAGAGATATATACACATATATATATACATAACGACATGATCTAGAAGCAGGCTAGCCATAGATATGTGTATATATATATGTATATAATCGGGAGGGGCGGGGGGGCATAGTAGCGGGTTGCACGTGCCCCAGGTGGCTTAGGGGGGGTGGGCTAATATATCTTGGCTAAGTGGGCTTCGCCCATTTGTCAGGATTGGCTAACCGCTCTGGGCCAGATGGGGCATGCGTAACCCCAGTTTATAAGCTAGGTTAAGCCAGATCTAGCCCGCTCCCTGCCATGGCCAGCCCCTGCCCGCCTCGGAAACCGAGTCGCCCGTGCCTCCGCGGATCCCTGAAGAGCTGGCCCAGGACCAGCGCTGGTCGGAACTGATGAGGCCGCCCAGGAGGTTGACCATAGCGGCGATCGGGGATGGATAGGGAGAGCGACAGACCAGATGGAACAGGACATGAACCAACAATGGAGGAGGAGCACAGCTGAAGAGGTAAACTGCAGGTCTCAAAGCGGGGTAGGGAGGTGGATGAGGTAGAGGAATTGGAGTGGGATGCGATGATGTTGCAGGATCTGGAGGGGTTGGTGAAGGATGCGGTGGCGTCTCCGAGGAGGGCCAGGGCTAAAGGATGAACCAACCACCGCCCCTTCCTCCTGCTCCCCGTTATCAGCAGCACCGCCACCAGCATTATCATCATCATCACCACCACCACAGCCATCAACACCAGCGCCATCATCACCATCAGCAGCATCAGCAGCAACATTATTACATACAAAACATCATCCTCCTCACCATCACGCCCATCACCAGTTTGATCATCAGTATCATCATCAGCATCATCATCACCAGCGCCATCATAATCATCACCACCATTATCATCATACGTATCATCACCGCCAGCGTCAGCAGTACCGTCACCATCGCCATGACCACCCTTCTCATCACCATCCGCATCATTCTCGCCATCCTCGTAGTCAGCTTCATCATCGCCAGCAACATCATCATCGTCAGCATCGTCACCGCCATCATCATCAACATTTTCATCAGCAGCATCATCATCAGCACCACTCGCACCGCCGCCGTCATCAACATATTTACCAGCAGCATCTTCACCAGCGGCAACATCATCAGCATCATCACCGCCAAGAACCACATTCGCAGAATCATCGTCATCGCTGGCTGCCTGCGACCTGGTGTTGGAGTACAGCGATCGCAACTTATTGTACTCGATCTTCCAGGCGGGCGTCTTCTGCTTCTTGTGCCCAGGGTCGCTGCCCCCAGCGCCGCCGCCACCGCTGCGCGAGGCTGGGCGGCGCTGTCCACGGCCCTCGCCACCTACTGCCTGATCAGGGGTCTCCTCGGGGCGCTTGACCTGCTGCGGCTGCGGGGCGGGCGACAACGCTGACTGCGAGCTCGCAGCGCTCTGGGCACCTGGGCTCGCAGCACGTGCGGCGCCTTGCTGGTCGGCGGGGCTCGGGGCGGCCGCTGCGGCGGGCTCCGCCCGTGAGGCAGCGCGCGCACCTGCTGCGGCCGCAGATCCGTCACTCGAGCTGGGCTGGGGAACCTCCTTCACCCACCTCGCGTACTCCTGCCAGGCCTTCTCGCACTTGTCGGAGAGCTCGTGCGTCACGAAGAGGAAGAGGAGAGAACTCGTCATGTTGCACCATTTCGTCCACTGCTTCCCCATGAGCAGCGCCTTCGTACAGTACCGCACCGCGAGCTTCCTTCCAGTCGCCCCACCACCGAGTTTCCACGCGACGCGGGACATCGATAGGTATTCCCCCTTCATCTTCTCGATCTTCGCATTGGTGGCCGAAACAACCATCTCATAGGACGCCTCCCACTTGTTGAATTCCTTTTCGGCCCACCGCTGACGGAAAGCAGCCTTGTTCGTGTAGCCAGCCTCTTTAATGTAATCTGCCTTCAGCTGATTGCCCGATGCCAGCGCTCGATGCCAGCGTCCAGCAATCGGGTTGCCAGCAGCCTTGGAGACACCGAAAAGGAAGCCTTTCGATTGCAGGTGCTTCCACATCAGCTCCTCCCCCGACGTCGTCCCCGCCGAGTCGTTCTCGGCATCGGCCACCATCGCCTCGGGACGTAGTGCGCGGAGCTGGCTCATGAGGTGCCCCTTGTAGAAGCTGGCGAACTTCTCATCGACCTGATCGATGTCTTCGGGCGCCTCGCACTCCAGAGACTGGATCCCCTCAGGCAGCTCCTTGACCAGCTCGTCCTTCGTCGTGGCGCCCGCCAGTCTGGTCTGCTCGCGCGCTGGCATCTCGTCGCTCGGCCGCGCACCCTCGGCAGCGTCGGCGGCGCGCTCAAGCGAACCGTCGAGAAGAGCATCTGCAGGACGGCAACGACTGCGACCACTGATCATCGGGCCATCGCCCGACGATCCCCCGCTCGGCCCGCGCCCGGCCACGGGTGGAGGGCGAACGACGGGCGATGTCCAATCTCGGGGCGCGCAGTCGGCCCCCCAGCCTTGGGATGCTCCCTCGGAGGCCCGCCCGTGCGCGCCAGGTCCCGAGGTCGACCAGCAGTCCCAAACCGATGTCTACCCTCGAACTGCCCCCCCACTGGAAAAGAGGAACGGAGGGGCAGTGCGGGGGGAAGATATTAGTTCAGAATGCGGGCCCCCAGCTGCGATTGGCGCACAGGCCCTGGCAGTGCCACTTGTGCGTCGGGACGCTCGGGAACTGGCTCTGCCGGTTGGGCGCCATCTGCTCGCCTGCTGATGCAACGAAGCTCGCGGCTGGCATCATCCCCATCATGGCAGTGTATTGCTGGGTTGGCGCTGTGTCGACAGGTATGGCATCGCCAACAGGCGTCTCATGTCGCTTCAACGGCCTCGCCGTTGCTGCGATGGCGTCGAAGCTGCCCAAGCGGGCCACATGCTCCGGAGCCATGTGGAAGGGTGGCTGCTGGCCGAACGATGGCAGGGCTGCGGACTGGATGTCGGCACGCAACGTCCACTGTCGATGGGGCGACCGCGAACGCCTCCGCGGGATAAACAAAGGCGGCCCCATCGACCCTGGCGTGTCGGACAGCACTCTGTGCAGACTGGCAGCCGCGACAGTCCTTGGCGCGGGTGCCTTCTGAATCCAGCCTGACGGAGGAAGCTGGGGCGTTGGGAGCTGTTGCATCGTATTATGTTGTTGGAAGCCAGTCGGCTGGAAGTCGATAGTCGGCTGCTGCTGGATGCTCGTCGGCTGCTGGATGCCCGTCGTTGGCTGCTGCTGGGGCGTCTGCTGGATGCCTGTCTGCTGCTGGTCCGTCGCTGGCTGCTGCTGATGCGGCTGCTGGATGCCCGTCGGCTGCTGGTCCGTCGTCGGCTGCTGCTGATGCGGCCGCTGGGTGCCAGTCGGCTGCTGGTCGTCCGTCGTCGGCTGCTGGATGCCAGTCGGCTGCTGGTCGTCCGTCGTCTGCTGCTGGGTGCCCGTCGTCGGCTGCTGGATTCCCGTCGTATGCTGCTGGATGCCAGTCGCGGGCCGCTGGATGCCCGTCGTCTTCTGCTGGATGTCCGTCGTCGGCTGCTGGATCACCGTCATAAGCTGCTGGATCGCCATCGTCGGCTGCTGGACGCCAGTCGTCGGCTGCTGGATGCCCGACGCCGGCTGCTGGATGCCCGCCGTAGGCTGCTGGATGCCCGTCGTCTGCTGCTGGATGCCCGTCGTCTGCTGCTGAATCACCATCGTCGGCTGCTCGGTGCCCGTCGTCTGCTGCTGGATGCCCGCCTTTGGCGGGGAGCTGCAGAGGTCGATCGCGCCGCCTCTGAGGAGGGAAGGAGACAGGCGGGCAAGTGGAGGAGCAAGAGGAGGAGGAGGAGAAGGATGATGATGAGGAGGAGGAGGAGGAGGAGGCGAAGGTTTAGGAGGACGGGGGTGAAGCCTAGAGTTGGCTGCTCGGGCGCCTGGCGTCGCAGCTCGGCGAAATAGCGGCCCTGGGGGGGGGGTGCGCTGGCGGCGGAAAGGGCCTTGGGTGAGGGAAGGGCATATCCTGTAATCGTTTGCGCTTCGAGCACGCCCGCCACTTCCGAATGCACCTGACCTTGGCCATGGGCATGGCACGTTTCACAGACTTGGAACGGCGCGGCGGGATAAGGCCGTCTGCGATGGCTTGCGGCTTCGGGATCTGCGGCGGGGGGGGGGGGGGGCGAGGGGGCGGCAGGGCGCGATAAATAAGGAAGGGGGGGGGGGGGGGGGGGGGGGCGAGGGCGAGGGCGAGCAGGACGAGCGAGACTTGGACCCTAGGACCCTAGGATAAAGATAGATAAATATAACAAGATAGCCTGACGTGATGAAGACTAGGAAGGGCCGAGGAGCCACGCAAGATCGAAGGGCGTTTTACCCAGGAGGATCCGCGTGAGTCTTGCACCCGTCTAGCGGCGGCGGTTGGCCGAATCCAGCCATGGAGGTCGCCGCGCGCATGTCGTTAGCTATGTGTTTAACCCTTTCCTCCTCATCGATGTCTTCCTCCACTACTGCCGGGGCGGCCTCGAACTCATCCGAGCACTGCGCGCGCCGCGCCCCAGATGCCGACGGGGCCGACGGGGCAAGTTGAGGTAGGGGGAGCTCTCTAGAAGCAGAGGGCAGAAGATGCGGAGGATGCGACAGAGGGAATGGGGAACCGACGAGGAGAAGGAGGAGTAGGAAGAGGAGGAGGAGGAGGAGGAGGAGGAAGAGGAGAGAAAGAGAAAGATACAGAGAGAAAAAGAGAGAGAGAGAGAGAGAGAGAGAGAGAGAGAGAGAGAGAGAGAGAGAGGGATGGAGAGCGAGGAGGAGGAGGAGGAGAAGGAAGAGGAATGAGGGGGAGGGGGAG